TTACGCGTCTGGGAATTTTGTTGATATGTTACAGAATAGTGTGTGTAAATTTAAAAAGGTTTGTGTCAATGCCTAGGTGCGGCTTACCTGAAACCTCTCCGTATAATACCAATATAAAAAACTGAAATAATTCAAACCACTAAGTGTATTTATCACCTCACACTGTAGTTGAAAAGCTTTTTAAAGAACCAAATCTGACATCCTCATCCCATCTCTAGATGGACAGAAGGCATGGCAGCCAAATATAGGATTTATATCTTCATTGATAAATTTCCATATGTATTTTACATCTCAAGAGAGATTTCTTGAAATCCTTTATAAAAGTAATGGACTAGAAATCATTCTCTATGAAAAATGTCCAAGTACAACTTAAATAATGAAGAAATACTACTGAAAATCATCATGAGAGTCTGTGATGTCAAACAGGATTCTTTTATCTCTACAGTAAATCTTTCTCATTGAAACTCCCACGCCACTCATAACCCCAGGGATTCCCAGTGCCTGCAAATGCAAAGGAGCAAAGAAAGGCAGCTCTGTAAACCACATGGGCAAGAAAACAAAGCCCTACCCACAGCCCCAACCAGGCTCCATGTGTTTGGGGAGGTGAGTGTGGAAGCACCCAGGGAACTGTTAAAGGTCCAGAGACTGTTAAGCACCAGTGCTGTTGGGTGGAGGGGCCAGGTCAGTGTGGAACTGCTTGTTTTCAGTTGAGAGAAAGCCCCAGGAGTATGGCTTGGAAATTGCTCTTCCCCTCTGTTAAAGCTAAGCAGGCCAAGTGCAGAGTGTCCCTGCTGATCCAGAGCACAGGTGACACAAGTGGTTCCTGCCGAGGGAAGCAGCTCTGGGTCAGTGTTATTAGCTCTGTCTGTGCAAGAAGGGCAGTCAGGTAACCCAGGAATATGTGTGTGTGACTGGGAGAGTCATGGAAGAAATTGTGAGCTAATGCTGAGTTTTGAACTCATTATCTGTCCCGCACTCAAAGGCTGCAAGAACACTCGTCATGCACATAAATGTGTGTGGTGGGAAGAGGCTGTAGAGTGGCCAACAACACAGAGGGTGCTGCAGCCCACACCTCACAGCCCCACTTCCCAAGCTGGGCCTGACCTCTCAGCTCCACATGGCTCCACCCATCCACTTGTATAGAATTGTGTAAACACATAGGAACTGTGTTACTTTTTGCTGGTGAGCCTCATTGCAAGCATTTTATGTCTTGATGCCAAAGTGGCTCCACACCCTTCATAAAGAGAGGAGATGTGGTGCTCCTTTTATACATTTTTGGTGTAGGTACAGAAGGGAGCTTTAGGACCCCAGTTCCCAGCACAGTTCAGGGCTTTGTGGTGGTGCAGGGGGAGGACAGGGCACCACCAGGACACAGGACAGGAGCTGCGGCTGTGCAAACCAGGCTCTCCATCTTCAAAACTAAACACTGACCTGTCTCTTTATTCTGGCAGTCTTTCTGTCCCCCAATAAACACATACAGCGTAACGTCCCATTTTTAAGATGCAACAGTGGTAAAATACACTAGAACACTCCAACAGCCTGTGCCTTGGCTAAGCAGGAGGAAGCCTGGATATGAGGTCATTTTGACATATGCAAATCTCATTCATTGGGTAAAACTCTGGCCCAAGCCTCTATCCCTGCTGCTGCAAAGCCACAGGCACTAAAACCTGGTCCAGGTCTTGGCCCCAGCAGTTTCTTCAGGAGCACAGCACCTCTGGCAGCACCATGGTAGGACCCTAAAGTGACAGCTCCTCACTGAGTGCCCCAAGACTATTCCCACACCCTTACCCCAGCTTCCAATGTTCTCCCATCCACAGCAGTTAAAGAACCAAGATGGAGCCACATGTGTGGCCAACAGTGTCCCTTTTTTCTCCCTTTTGCTTTGCATAGCAAAAACAAGGCACCTAGTTCCCACCAATCTCTTGGGTGTTTCTCCAGGGAAGTAGAGGAGCAGGGCAGACTCTGCCAATGGGCTGTCCTGGCTGGGTCCACCCTGGGAGGGTACATCAGGATTCATCTTGATTCCAGTAGGATGTGATGGTGGGCAGCGGATTTGGAGAAGGGGGATCCCACTGAAGGATCCCTTCTCACAGTGAGTGCCATTTGAGCTGCCCCCTTACTGCTGGGTCTTTTCCTCTGTCTTGCTTAGTCTTGGTTCTTTCTTTCTGTGGGGATGAGGGGAAGGAAGAAATTACTTCCCTCCCCATACAGCCCAGCCCCTCGAATGTTTGTGTGCCATGTTTGAGCCTATTGCTTTCTTACCTGTCCTTGCTGTCCTGAGTGCTCACCCCTTCACCTTGCATGGCCATGAGTTTTGCCTGCAGGCATGCCCCTGGGCAGGGTTTCTATCCTGGGCTTTGTCATTTCCTCTGTCATGGACTGAGCTTCTGTGAGAAGCTCAGTGGGCTTCCTGAGACATGACCCCACAGCCATCACCTGTGTGCAGAGTTGGGGATGGACTGGTGAGTGACTCGAGCATAGGGCACCAAGCATGGAGCTGCCCAGTTAAAGATTCCACTGGTCTCTCTGGAGATAAAATAGTGCCAAGCATGTAGCTAAACTCAGAGAGAAGGCAGTAATAAAAAAATTATTTAATTATTATAGTAACTACAACTAGAGGACCCCTCTCTGATTAATATGGAGACCTTACTTTAAGGTATTGCAAACACAATCCTGGTCAGTTTTAGAAGTACTGAACATAAATACAGCAAGCGCTGAAACCCACTTGTCAGAAAGCCGGTGACCACATGAAGAGAGCTGCTGTGCTGAAGAGGTGTCAACCACTCTAGCTCAGTCTCAAAAAGCTCTCCTGCCTCTGGGCAGGGGGCATCTGCTCTGGGTTTGTTCATCCTAATTTGATCCTTCCTGGCTTAAATCACAAGTTGACACAACTAGCACCAAGATTTTCCTTTTCGAGGCTGTTCTGCAGAACCTTCCACCAGAGGGCAGCTGGGAAAAGGAATGTGATGGGCTTGCCTGGCTCGGGATGAGAGCAGATAATTCTATGCTAATTATTATACTTGTAACTTCCTCCCTAACCAGATGCAATCCCCTTCAGCCATTTCTAATGGCATTATGCTTAGGGAATGCTTCCCACAATAAAAGCAAAGGCCATGTTCTTTCCCAATTGCCCCAAGATCCATTCTCAGACGTAATCTGAGCTAGAAACAGTACAATTAGTTATTTGTGTTCTTGAATTAGCAAAAGACTAAGCTTTAAAAATCCAATAATGCCTATGCATGATGTGTTTGCAATCAGTTTATCCCTGAGCTCCATTAATTGCAGATCTGGTATGCTTTGTGCAGTCTAAGGTGAGAAGAGCAGAGGAGTCACTTTTTACTCAGAACAGTGTCTCCTCTCTTTATGAATTATGTGGACCCACTTTGGAGCCACTTCCAGATATAAAAAGCCTACGGTGAAAAACTGTTGTAGGATCACAAGTAAAAATAAGTGACAGCTGCTGCTTCCTGGTGTAGTAATACATGAAGAATATAGGGAATGGAGCAAAACTACTTGTGCTAAGTACTTATTTTGCCTTTCCTTGTGATGAAAGACGCTACTCAGCTACCAGACTTGGTATCCGTCTGCACTACCATATCCCACACTCCCTGTGGCCATGATGTGTGCTTTAGCTGCTACATGTTACAGATAATCACTGAATACTGAAACAAAAGATTCCGTGTTTCTTAAACAGAGACAAGTAGCAGCTCTGACCACTCCCTAAAAACTAATCTCAGTCTAATTGTGTTTTTTTCATTTTCATACTTTCTTTTTTTGCAGTTTCTCTCATTTAGTGTCCCTTTTATTTATACTGTTACTTTCTCTGGGGAGAGAGATTTGCTCCTCCATCTCATGTCTCATCTCATTGAGGCTGAATTCAGCTGAAGTCAATGAGATCTCTACTTTATTAATAACAATCCTTTTTGTGGAAATGAATTGGACTTCAGAGAAGCTGGAACTAGATGATGCTGGCAATTGAAATATTATTTCAAGGTTTTCATGTCTCATGTTGTAAATGAAAAGCTACATCACTGTATTCATATGTCACAAAGGTAACAAAACCCTCTTAGTAATGACAAATTCCTCTCCCTCCAGAGATACCACCCATGTTAAACCTGAATGTTTGTTATTTCCAAAGTTTTAATGAAGATCTTGCATTGAACTGAGACCAGGGTGTGTACACCCAGGGCTGAAGACATTCTGCCACTTGTTGCCTTCTTTTTAGGTTTAACTGGGAGCTTGACATTGACATACCCCTAATGCCTCTTAGTTTGTGTGACTGGTGTCTGATGATCAGGACAGACACAGGAGACTGTCGGCAGGAACATCATCTCCAGATGAAAATAGGTTGGAGACAGATGGATTTGGAAAGAGTGAGGGGATAAGAACCTAAAAGAAAGATGAGTTAACCTCAGAGGCATGAAGAAGAAGTGAGGAACTGAGCTCCTGTCAGTTTGCCAGGCTGAGAAACAGCAGGAGATTCTTTCCTCCTAGAAATCTAGTGGTACCCAAAAGAAGCCATAGGTTCTGCAATGGCTGGCTGCTGGCAGGGGAGCACGGGCTGTGCAATTCCCCACCAGTCTGCCCCCAGTTCTCTGGGCTCTTTTGGTGCCTGACACAGTTGCTAATTCCCTCTTCTTTGTAACTCAAACAAAGACGATAATAAAAACTTAAGTCTTAAGTGAGTTTTGTCCATGCCTGTGTTAAGTGAAGCATGGGACTTGTGAAAACCCATTTATGTTATATAGTTACAGACTCTACTCAAATACAGAGTGTCACACAAGTCACTTTCATTCTGGTGATTCTTAGTGTCTGAGAGCCTCATTTTGTAGCCAAAGTGATGTTCTTTGAGCCCCATTTTCCATTAAGATTTTTCAGCTAAATCAAGACAGCTTTTTTTCCCCCATGGGCAGGTGGACTGAAAGCAATTGTATGGATGACTCCTTGTTTTCTAAACGTCAAACTGACTTTTAAAAATTTCTTCCTCTATCTCTGCACAGGAGTGCCAAGGAAGTGCTGTAAGAAGGACTGCTGGGGGAACAGAAGAGAGTACTTCTGAGAAGACACAATGTCACACTGAGGTCAGAGCCACTTCTGTTTGAGCTGGGATTGTGCTTTCATTCATGGTATAGCCGGAAGAGCTCTTTGCAGGGACTGTAATAATCTGTGTTCAAACAGTTTAGAGCAAATTCTGGCATCTTTATCTGGGGATATTTGAGCATCACAAGAAAGTGTTCAGAAAAAAATCTATTTCAACAGGGTCCATACCAGCTTTAAAAGCTTCCAGCTGTCTTTAAAGAAATTTTGGAACATTCTTCAGTGGAAAACTAATTTTATAGCATAATTTTTCTATCAAATACCAAATCCACAAATGTAAGTTCACTCACTCCTCGTATGTATTATGATATTGAATTGTAACAGGTTTTAAATTATATGATGGTACAATAAATTTTATTTACAGTGTAACAAAAGTTAATTTATGGATTCATCTGAAGACAATGCAACCTAAAGATGTTCAGCCCTTCCTAGGATTGTCTCCCACATAGGTACAAAAAGTACAGCTCAAAAGTTCAAAGCAGCAGTGGAAATATTTTTTGCATGATTATGAGCTATGGGGAATTATCTGTTGTTTGCATCTGTCAAACTATGAGATTCCAGAACTGAATCCTTCTTTTCATATTAAATTGAATTGGATAAGTCAGTGTCTCAAGCCTTGTACCTGGAGCCCTGTTTGATGCTGGTTTTACCAGTTCATTTCATTAATTTTGGTGGCATTATGTAGCCCTGTTTTATGAAGGCTCATAATGCTCCCAGAGCACTCACACCTTTCTGTGTAATTTGTGTGCCTCCACTGCCATAGGATGTAAGTGCCTTCCATTCTTTGTGTTTGCTGTTCTATTACAGCAATTCAGGGAGGCACAATTGTCCTTGAGGAAAAGTTGAAGGGAGGTGCAACATCTATGATACAGCTTGTTTCTGCTCTGTCTTTTCACATAATTTCTATTTAAAAGCTTGGTCCAGTTCTTCCATTTTGCTTCTTCTCCGTTTCTTATTTACTACATCTCTGTTCTTCCCAAAGCCATTAAGTACCTCAGCTTCCATATGTGTGTCTTTCCTGCTTTTTCTAATTTGGCTTTTGTCTCTGCTGCCAAAAGTGTGGTGTATAAACTAGAGCAAAGTTTCTGAGGTATGAAGGATACTTACAAGAACATCTTCTGTATTGTTCTTCTAATTTGAAATAAATGAACTTTACAGCACACAAAATGAAGGTGGTGATGCAAGTGGGACCATAAAAGCATCTGGACAGGAAAGCTCCTTTCTGCCATGTTCCCTTTCTGCCCATGGAAGAGTTCACACTCTCTAGTTAAAACTGATTCAGCTTAAAAGGCAAATTCTCTGTCTGGGGAGGAGGAAGTCAAAGGGCTGTACCTGCACCTGAGTGCAGTTCTCTGAGGGAGTCTTGGGGGAAGACTTAAGTTGAGAAGTTCAATTTAGAACACAACAAAAAATGAAAAAATAGGCCTCTTCACTGAATTCTGGGTAAGACTAAGAGGAAAGCTTGTCAGCCAGTGGTCTATTGGCCTGCTTATGGCCTTTCCTAGCAAGCCCCATTCAAAGTTATTAATATGCAGTCTTTTCATTTGACCAATTTTCTTTGTCAGTTTAATACCTGTGAATAGTCTCCTAAACTCAGGAATTTTGTGGTGCAGATGCATAAATGTATCCCCTTTCCTGTGTTGTCCTCACAAGAACCAGAGCATCAGACAACACCCTGGACGTACTTACTTACCTTTGAAAAGGCAAAATGGTAAAACTGGTTTCATAGAGTACCTGTCTGAGAGAATACCACTCTTCAAACATCCTGGATTTTAAATGTTTCTGCTGCTCCCTGGGAAAATAAGTAGTAAAACAAGCTAGTGTGGATGTGAAACCAGTTACAGAAGTGAGTTACCTACACACAAACAGTCTTAAAATGTGGGTTTTTTTCACATAATGAAGTCATTTCTCTTTGCTTTTAACATGAGAGCTGATGATCCTTTCCAGTTGGAAAGGTGTGGCAAGGGTTTGGGAAGGTGAGGACCTTGGGGTTTCAATAACTGAGCAGCTTCAACTCACTTCCTTTACCTGATCCAGAAGGTGCTGATGTACAAGCAAGTTCAGACCTTGCAAACAGCACTGAGGATCCCTTCAGCTCAAAAGGAATATTCGCATTTCTGGCATGTCAAGAGTGGAGAAGAACACTGCTTCTGGTGAAGGCTGCACATCATATTTTAAACCTAAACAGTTTATGAGTTCTGACCCCTCTTTGAAAATAGGGGTTCTAAAAGAAATCTGTGAAACGACAGCTGAGATCCCCAGCCCTTCATAGATATTAAAGAGCCTGTCTCTAGTCGTCCTGTTTCAAAATTTTGGATTAGGCTTACAGTCTCTGCAGGTCCTCTCTCCACAAAATGAAATTAGTTATTGATTCAAACCCACCACAGTCATTTATGGTTTACCAAAGCTAGGACTCATTGGTAACAGTGCTTTCATTCATGTTAAGGGCTACCTAAGCCAGCAAATTTTCCCGGAGTAATGCAGATTAACAGTGGAATTTATAGGAAAACTCGTGTCTCCTGAAATCATATCCCATATCCTCATATCCCTTTCATTGATTTGCAAGAAGTGGAAGGAAAGGGCTCCAGCAATAACTCAGAGATAAGCCACATAAGCTTATGTGGTATAGAAAGAGTTGTGAAGAAATTTAGATTGTTTTCAACAATTCTCCTTTTCCTAGCTGTTGTTCAAGTGGATGTTACCTACAAAACCAGGATCCTTGGAAGCAGAAACACAAATGCTATTACTTCAAATAAAAATTGCATGGAGTTTAAATGGAATCAAACCAGTCTTGTGTATGGTTTGAACTACTGGTAGGAGAATAATAATTCACATAAAGAGCTGTGCTGCAGCTGCTGACATGAAAATGATCAGGGTATAAAAATGTACGATACAGACAGCATTAATATTGCCTTAATTAGAAGTTGCTTACTTGGAGATAGCAGCTAAATAGAGATACAGTTTCTTCAAGATTTCAAAGAGAAGAGCAGATTTATGCCAGGAAAGAGTTGTCCAAAAGCTAAAGTGATTTACCTGAGAAAGGGTCCCAGCATTAGATGATTGGAGGCCATTTAATTTAAAGAAACAGAAGACACAGATGTTTCTCCATGTGGATGTAGGACCGTAGTCAATTAGAAAAGCAGAAATTAATTTATTAATTTTCCCAGTTTGAAGTGGAAGTATCTAGAATTCATTTAATCCTGAATAACTTAGATCAAATATTTGGAAGCCTTTATTTCCTAGTACACAATACTTCAGTACAATAACTGGGAGAAGAGTATTAAGTATTATTATTTCAATAGCATTGTCAAGACATGAAGCAACCTACTGCTTTCCTGGTCTGTCAACACTGTCCTAGGAAGTGTGAACTAAAGTGAAATAAGAAAGATTTTGTAGGAAAAGATTTGTTGGGGTGAGATTTTCCTAGAAACCAGCACATAGCTCAGATGAAAAAAAAAGTAATAAAATACTGTTAGCACCAATTTGCAGTGAAGGCAAGATGGCAGATGGAGAGCACAGCAAAAAGGAAGTTGGCTGCTTTCCATGACACTCTACAGCTTTCACTGTCCTGGGGCTGTGCAACTGGTTTTTTGTGCATGGAGCAGATGGGATAAACAGGCTTAATCTTGTTTTTCTTGATGTTGTGACTCACCTGAGCTTTAATATGTGTGATTTGGAGGCCATGGTTAAACAGCAAGCACTGAGACAACGAAAGGATTGAGGCACCCTGTAAGTCAGTGGACAAAATGAGACAGCCTGTAAGTCAGTGGACAGTCCAGTGTGGTCTGGTCCATAGCTGAGAGCCTGAGAAAAACAGCTTTTCTAATTGGATATATTCCACAAGCACATGGCTCTTTTCTTGGAACCATTTTCAATCTGTATCACACTCTGTAGGAAAGAACTGGTTTTGTGGGGAGCCAAAGGGAGCATCTGTCAGGCTATGAAACTGGTAGCTAACCCTTAATCACTCAGAAGAAAGCTTTGTGTCCTTCCTTGACTTAAAGCTAAATCATAGACAATCAAGCTGGTCTCAGTCCAATTACTAATGCCGGCACACACAAACAACATGAAGCTTGGGATGCAGTGACATCTTCCCAGTTTGAAACATTTACATTTCTTGCCTGAACTGCACTTTTTGGGGCAGCATTCTCCCTTATCCTGATCTGCCCTGCTTTTTCTGCTGGTTGGAAAGAGATTTTTGCTGGTTACTTCTGCAAGACAGACTCGGTGCACTGGACAGGAGAAGCGATGATCAAAGCAGGTTTAGTGCTGACAGATGAACATGTACAAGCTTGAGCTTGCAAATGCTTAGAACGGCTTGGTGCACAGGCAAAGGCAAACCAAAATATTCTCATTGTCTGACATGCACACTGGGAAAAATTTGGCCCATTATTGTAAAAATGTTTTAAACTATTCTTCATGGCTGATTTTTTTTTACTTATGCTTTGAACTCTCAAAGGGATATAAAATATTCTATAGCAGTGTTTCCAAATGTAAAACGTGATGGATCCTCTACAATTGGCTCATTTTAGAACATAGATTTTCCAGATTTTTGGCTTGTTTTTGTGAGAAAAAAACAAGGGTCTAGCCAGAGAGCCTCATCCTCCATTTTTTTACTGACATTGGAGTTTGAATTCTCTGGGATGTGCAGACAAAATAGCCTGGAAAATGTGAGTTTGTTCAAGTGTGTAATGCTCTGCATCTCTGACTTTCTCAGTTGCTGATGTCATCCAGGTCTGGTTTTCCTCTCTGGAGATCTGGTAATTATTTTAGTTTTACCTCAACTACCTGTCAACTTCTCACAGATTTTTCATTTATTTTTATGGCAGGTGGCTATAAAAGGTTTCATAATGACAACACAATTAATGTAGCTGCTATGGGAAACCAAAACATGAAGGGTTTTGTAGGTTGAAAAATGAAGTTAGTGTTTTAGGTTTTATTGTTTAAAACTTTTCCCTGGTTTACTCCTGAGCTCTTCAAGCAC